CAATAGATTTGTAGAAAACTGCTTACCTCGTGATTAATTTTCATCTATCTCTAAATGAATGGGAGGATGTAGTCCAAAATGGGACTTACTTTTTGTTTAGAGGAGGGCCTACTGCGTAACAACGAGCAAGTTTACAAGTTTGTCATAAAGAGCTCGATAAGAACAAAACTGTGTAACTTAGCAAGATTGGTGCTCATCGGAACGATCGTCTGATCGTTGTTGTAGTCACAGTGGTACCCAGACACTCGCTGATGCTTGAATATCCTCTGTATGGTCCACCAAATTACGTGCTCCGTGCTACCTTGATCGGTAAGATGGCCGCCTCTCGATGTTAACACTGCAAGTTCAGCAGTCCGACTCCTCTCCTCCCTCTCCCCAGTCTCGTTGGCACATGTGCAAAGTACATAGTGATCAAATGGAGAAAATTTTCTCCTAATGATTACTTTATTTCGTAAGACAAGAAGACTGGGTTTGATAATATAAGGAGGTGATGTTTTATATATATTCTCGTCATATAATAATTAATATAAACAGAGTTCATATAAACAAGAAGTGGAGGTACAATTTCATTCCTCCGTGTTAACTCTGGGATAACAAAGAAGATAACAAGATAACTCTGTTATCTTGTGATCTTCAGCTAATAACGCGAATTAATGTGATCACTGTTTTATATAGTATCAGTCAATAGTTCTTAGTAAAGAATACTGATACGTAGTGAGAATAGAGTTTAATTCTCTGGAATGTAGATCTTACTCTTTCTCTGTTAATTTACTGGATGCAACCGCCACATAGTAGGCAATATTTGGTGAAATATTGCGCAGTAGGAAATGCATGATTATGGTTAATCTACAAGTTAGTAATACAGTATTAGTAAATTACTATTGTTAGTACAAGAATTCTTCTTAGAGTACTAAAAATGATGAAAAGATGTTGGATATTTCCAACAAACTCTTGTATCACAAACAGATGACGGACACAGGGCTAAGAATACTGCTAATCAGGAATGACAGGGTAGATCTCATTGAAACTTTAAATACTGAACAATTTAGAAAATGTTGATCTGGACATTATCTTCAAAAGGTCAGATGTAACACGAACAAGGAGCAATGGTTTCAAGCTCAACAAGTCATAATGTAGGACTGAGAACAGATGCGTTTTTACCCACAGCGTTATAAACCCATTGAACTGTCTACCTACCAAAGTTTTAAATGTCAAAACTGTTAAATTTTAAAATACAACTGGAAAAAGATCACAAGGGCAAATGGGGAGACCTTTGACAAGCCGCTGGTTTCCTGTCGGTTCAGTGCCTTGGCGCCTTCCCAAACCCTCGCTCGATCTGTTCACGGACACGTCGTCTCTTGGCTGGGGCTTTGTGTCCAGTACTCACCAGGCCAGCCAGGGACGGTGGGATCCATCCTTCTGTCGTGCCCACATCTCGGCATGGAGTCGGGGTTGTGTGGTTTGCACTTCGGAGGGTTCATTACGCCCGCATATCAATGATCCGGCTCCATTCAGACTGCTCCCCAGTGGTTCACTGCCTGAATCGAGGGGGGTTCAATGCAGTCTTTGGCTATTTGGGGCTGGTTGCATCAGGTGACTTGTCTGCTGAGTTCTCAGGGTGTGGCTCTCCTAGCGGTTCACGTCCGGGGGGTGTCCAACATCCTGAAGACGGCCGATGCCGACTCATTCAGTTGGCTCTGCCGGACGTTCGGGCGCCTGGATCTCTTCACGTCGGCCTGGTCGAGACATCTTCCAGTATATGTGGCGCCCTTCCCCAACCGCGAGGCTGTTGGGATCGACGCCTTTCGGCAGGACTAGTTGAGGTGGGGGTTTCTGTACCTCATTCCATCAGTTCAGCTGTTGCTCCAGGTCCTGGCTCACTTGGAGACTTACCAGGGGCAAGTAGTACTCTTGGCTCCATGGTGGCCGGCCCAGCCGTGGTTTCAGGCGCTGCTGGCCTGGTGTCCGAACCAGGAGGTTTTTCCGCGGCTCCGCTTCTTTCAACAGATCAGCCCGGTCCTTTACGAGTTTGGTATTTTTGAATCAGGTTTATCACCATCTATATGGTGATCAGGTGGCTTCCTTGATGGTATCCCATCTGCGGGCTTCATCTCAGCAGCAGTATGAAGTTTCCTGGCCGTCCTTCCATTTCTTCTTGACCCTTCGTCGTTATACTTCTCTTTCGGTTCGGGTGGTGTTGACCCTTTCTCTCATGGTTGTTCCAGGACCATCATCTTATGCCAAATACTGTCACCTCTTATGGTGCGGCATTGGTGGAGCTGCTGCAGCTTTCGAGATAGAAGTTACTGCTGCACCATTTTGCAAGCTGTCTTGTGTGTTGTTTCACCTCAGGCCTACTCATGCACCGCCTGAACTGTCCTTGTCTTTGGACAGAGTGCTCTCCTGTCTTTCTTCTCGGTTTATTGTGGCCCCCTTCAGTTCAGGATTTTTTACTAAAGCTTTTTTCTTGTTGACGTTGGCCTCTGAGGGTCGGGTTTCGGAGCTTCATATTCTGCTCCGGCGCAGAGGTTTCTCCTCTTGAGGTCATGATGATAGTTTTGTTCGTCTGCAGCCATCTCCTTCTTTTCTGGTGAAGAATGAGACTGCTGTGTTCCGGAGGGGTCCTTGGGTTGTTGATGCTTGGTCTGTCAGAGGGTTGCATCATGTGTTGTGTCCGGTTGCGGTCCTCCCCCTGTTATTTGCGCGTCACGGCTTCTGTGTTCGGGGATGCGCTTCGTGTTGATCCAGTTTCCCTTCTTCCCCTGTTCGTGGGTACGGGTCTTTCAGGGAGTCCGCAGGGTTATTAAGTCTAGCCAGCCTGCGGTCTATCCCAATGCCCATGACATTCGTAAGCTTGCTGCTCTTCCTGCCATCTTTGGGAATATGTCTTGGGCTGACATTCAGGCACGGGGTTTTTGGCAGTCAAATAGGGTCCTGGCTGCACGCTATCATGTGAACGTTCCAGGGGCCTAGTCGGGTTTGTGATGCTTTGGGTCAGCGGTTGCAGCCAGTTATCTCAACTTCGGGTTGAGATGTGAGCGTCGACTGCCTTCCAGGTGAGTTCCCCTTTCTTTTTCGTCTTTGATGAAGTAGCTCCAGGGAGCCGTAGGGGTTTCCCCAGAAAACCAGTGTTGAATGTAATGAAGCTCCATTTTCTGGACGAGTCCCGAAGGCTCCCCAGCAACTCTCCCTTTCCCCGGTTGGCATTTTTTTGGCGTATTTTGATATCCAGCTTCAGAACTACGGTGTGGATCACAGGCGTGCGGGTCTGTGACTCCCCCCTTTCCCCTCCCGGGGAGTGGGAAGCTGCGCAGATGGCGGCGTGGCTCATGTGATGTCATGCACGTTTGCTCGTTTTCATTTGGGGGAGTTCTGTCCACTTCTTTGGTTATTTTCGTTGGTTTCACGAGAATAGGAGTTTGTTTTGAGGCGCTTACCTTTCTGGGTGCCTGTCCCGGTCGACGGCAGATATAGAATGCTCCAAAATCACATGTGCATTTCTATAGGCCATTGCTCCTCGTACCTCTCTTATGGGGCCAGGTTCTAGCCGTGGTCCCCGGTAGGCCTAGAACTCCACCCCACATCAACTGACGACAAAGTTAGGGATATCCTAATCAGTTTGGATAGCTCTGGGAAGCTTCCAGGACTCACCCAGAAAATTGCATTTCATTATATTCAATGCTGGTTTTTTAATTCATGTGAGAATGAGTTCCATAGACTGGGTCCTTTTATTTGCATGAAGTGTTTGCACAGATTTAGTTTGACTCTGGGGATATCAGAGATATTTATTTCTGGTGTTATGCTCATGGGTACTATTACACCTAGTTTTACTTCTTCAAAGCTCCAGTGAAGCTGTAGCAGCAGAGCTACACCTCCTGCCCCTCTGTGCACCCCTATCTCTCCTTATTACTTGATACCCCTCTTATGAAGATTGCATTTCCTATAACACTAGTCAATTTCATTTCTGTTATCACAATCATGTGCAGTTGAACTTCTAGCTGCCACTCTTTCCTGTAACTCTACTCCTTTATTTGTGATTCCATGTTTATTTGTGTACATTTCTTTATGCTACTCATGCCAATTGGGCTGCTTTTAATAACAATAATCCTTTGTGTTGGGCGACAGGCAGCCAGTTTATACATACAGTACATGTTAGGCTTATATATAGTTCCCCCCCTCCCATGTTCGAGTAACTGACCCTTCCCAGGATGCAACCCCACAAGAAGTTGACTAATTCTTGGGTACCTATTTACTGCCAGGTGGACAGGGGCATTAGGTGGTAGGAAACGTGCCCAACAATTTCTGTCCCACCCAGGATTTGTACCCATAATTCTCGAGTGTGAATCAAGAATGAATTCAACTGTACTACCAGGAACCGAACCTTCAATTTTTCCCCTTTTCTTTCCTTTTGTTCTCCTCTTTGCTTCCTTCCTTGGGACCTTTTGTTCTCCCTTAGAGTAATACAGCTTAGTAGTGTCAATCCTGCCTGGTGGCAGTTGTTCTCAAGGTTGATTTCAAGATCACTTGTAGAAAGTGGTGGACTGGAGTGTATCTGTTGAGAATGTCATTGAAGTATTTACTTGCAGTAGTGGTAGTAGGGACCAGTAGCTGGGAATTGAATGGAAGATAGATCCAATACGCTGCCAATGTAAAAGCAGCGTCAGGGTAAAGGTCAGAGTGTGTTCCATGCTCGCGAGCGAAACTATTGGGGGGAGCGCAGACTATAATATTGGTTTGAGGTGGTAGAGAGGAAGTTGACCTGGTTGGTCCTCCTCCTCCTTATTTTAATGCATTTAACCTCACACTCTATTTTTTATGTTTTTATTGAACAAAGATTGATGTGAATGTCTTGAGCTGTGTCTAATTTACATCATAACTACATAATTATCCCCTTTACATCGATCAGTAGAAATGTGTTCATGGTGCCAATCCATAATCGGTCATTTATAGTCCCAATACGGCTGGAAAAGTATTTACATAATGTTTCATCTCTCCCACAGCTTGCCCCGTGTTCCTGAACTCCAGCCTGGCTGCATATAACAAGAGTATCATCTCTGTCTCCAAACAAGTATATGTGGCGAACACTTCAGTGGAAGCCATGGCCAACCTCAGCCTCGTTCAGTGCATGCATACCTGTGCTGGCAGCACTGTCAAGAACATCACTGACATATCTATGAATGCTTCCAGTATCAATAGCTCCAAATGGGAAGAGCTAATCTTGAAGAATGTTAGTTGATTTTTTATGAGAGTTCCTTGGTGCCTCCTGTCTCCCTGAAGCGTTTTCACTGAGAAGACTCCTCACTATTTGGTCATATTAGTCGCAGTAGTCCTGTTAGGAAACCAGAGCCAGAATCTGCCCTCCCTCTCACAGAAGTGCATAGAAAGCAAAGCATCAAAATAGTCAAACAACTCTACAAAATAATAATTCAAAACAATTAGTTCAGTCAAAACTAGTTCAAACCCCTTAGTGTGGAGGTCCACCGCCAGTTGGCCTGGAGCTCCTGGCCAGTGACTAGTTACCAGCGAGTCCTGTCATTGATAATGGTGTGTTTAGACCTGCTTCATGGGTTAACTCTTCATGTCGGGTCCTACTGCTTCTCAGCTAAGAGCCGGTTATCCTTTGAACTTTGTCCTGCAGAGGCCGTTTACTAATTTACTAACTTTATCCTGCTTTACAACAAGAAGCTTACCAGGCAGCCTTATTGGCTCATTTTTATCCATTTTTGTGTCAAACTTGATTGGTCCCCAAGCCAACATACATCAGAATGTTGCTCATGATAATGTGTTTATTATGAACACAAATCATACTGATGTGGCCCCAGCATGCTGAAGTGGTTTGATGAGATATGTGTCCAAAATAGTCACGAGCGCTGTCAGGAATTGGAGTTAAATGTCAGACGACTTTCCAATACCTTTGTACAGTCTGTGGCTGAGTGGTTATAGGGGCATGGAGGCCCTGGCTGACCGGGTTCGAATCCTCCAGAGGTCAAAAGTTTTCTGATATATACAATGTGTGTCTGTATGTCTGTATGTCTGTATGTCTGTATGTATATATATATATATATATATATATATATATATATATATGTATACAAGACACATAAGCCTGGAAACCCACTTCGGCCAATCATCAGCCAGATACCCACACCCACGTACAGACTGGCAAAGCGACTCAACGGCTTGCTGACTCCTTATGTCCCTTGCGCCTTCAGCCTGAAGTCTCCAAAGGAATTTGTTGACTTACTGAGGGGAACATGGGCCACAAGGATAAGAGCCTTGTTGGACGTAGAATCACTGTTTACCAACGTACCTGTGGATGAAACAATCGGGATGATAGCGGACAGAGTGTATCGTGATCTGGGCTGTACTCCTCTTGACATACCAGAAAACATTCTAAGGAAACTACTCCAAGCTTGTACTAAAGAGGCACCCTTCTTGAGCCCGGATGGACACATGTATAAGCAAGTAGATGGGGTCGCCATGGGTTCTCCCCTAAGTGTCCTGTTTGCAAACTTCTACATAGGTACCATCGAACAAAAGGTCTTAGTCGACATGAACTTGAAACCGGCCATATACTGCAGGTATGTTGACGATAATTTTTACACAGGTACCTTATGTCAGACATCTGCAGGAGCTGAAGGAGGCATTTGAGCGGAATTCTGTGTTGCGTTTCACTTACGAGATGGAGAACGATGGGAAGCTGCCCTTTCTAGATGTAACAGTCATGGAAAGGAGCAGAGGTTTCCACACTGCAGTCTACACTAAGGAAACAAACATAGGAATGTGCCTCAATGCCAACAGTGACTGCCCAGACAGGTACAAGAGGAGTGTCGTTAACGCTTATGTCGACCGTCCTCTCAGCCACAGCTCAGGATGGAAGCAAGTCGATGAAGAACTCTGTAGGGTAAGGCAGGTCCTAGTCAACAATGGCTTCTCCAATGGTTTCGTTGAAGACATCAGAAGAAGGAAGGTGAAACGCCATGCAACCTCTGAAGAGACAACTAACACAACACCTGTACCCTCTATTAGACTATTTTACAGGAACTTCTTTTCCACAGCTCATAAAACGGAGGAAAGGGTCCTGAAAGATATTGTTAATAGAAACGTTATCCCTACAGACAAAAATCAGAAGATACAATTGACGATTTACTATAAAACCAAGAAAACGGCCAACCTACTCATGAGAATCTCTCCAGACACAAAGCAGAATGCTTTAAAAGAGACCAATGTCGTCTATGCCTTCAAATGCCCACTTGGGGACTGTAAGCCTCAAAGAATTCAGTATATAGGCAAGACAACAACATCTTTTTCCAGGCGATTAACGATGCATAAGCAACAGGGCTCCATTAAGGAACATATAATCTCTTCCCACAACCAGACCATCACCAGAGAAGTCTTAACAAAAAACACGGAAATCATCGATAGATACAGTGATAGCAGGCGGCTTGATATCTGCGAGGCACTACACATTAAGAAGTCGACACCAGCAATCAACAGCCAATTAATGCACAACTATATTCTACCCACTTCAAGACTCCACACCAATATAGAAGCATCAAGAAATATGGGCCAATAGGCCCTTTGTAGTTACTTCCATTCTTCCCTTTAACTTACCCAATATTATGCCCATTGTTTCGTGTTCTGTCTTGTGTTGAAAGTTTGTTTTCACCTCATCCAAAACTGTTGTAACATATCACCTCACCCAAATGCAGGTATAAAATCAAAGCTGTTTAAACTCTGTTTAGCGTTTGCAAGTTATAGTTGTGTGTGTGTAAACTAACTTCTTTGAAAATGTAATAAGTTATTACGAAACGCGTTCAAGTGTCGCGTCAGACTAGAAATAAAAATGGATTTTGGAAAATTGATTTTTCAATTACCATCAACAGTGAAAAGAAATATAAGAAATATTGAGAAAATTCGTGTTAGAATTATTTATCTTACTTTTTCGGTCATATTTAATAATATATATATATATATATATATAAATAAATAAAAAAAAGATTAAAGAATTTAATCCGTTCCTGGAGACGGTTCGTATCCCGAAGCAAATTTCCCCATAAGAAATAATGGGAAATGAATTAATCCATTCCTGACTCCCCAAAAACTTCACTTCAAAGTAAATTTTATACCTAATTCATCCAAATCTTCACTACAAAAGTATGTTCAAGTTATTACTTACTCTTGCTGATGACTCCTGTTGGCGTATGGAAGATGGTGAGGATGGGGAGGAGGAGAGGTGTTACTGTTTGGAAGGGGAGTCTCCTTCCATTATAACATCAGGCAGTGAAGAGTTCTCTGGAGTTCACTCTCTGGCACATTTTGCCTGCATACCACCAGGTCCTGGTTGTGGCTCACTGCTTGATTTTCTCACTTTTCTCACAAGGAAACGTTCCATTGAAGTTTGTTTTTCCTTTCTTTGCAACACTTGTCTGTAGTGTTGCATCACATTGTCCTTAAAAAGATCAATGCAACGGCCTACTACAGCTTTATCGGGGTGATTCTTTTCAGCAAAACTTTGCTGTTAATTAATGAGGAAGGGACATCCTCTACTGCCTCCTCTTCCTTCCCTGAAGATCTGTTGTACTGCCTAGCTAGTTCAACAACACGAGTACCATTTTCATGCTTACAAATGGTCTCTTGTTTTTTCTCTATGGTCATTCTCACATGTGATTTCTTACCTTGAACCTTACCACTGGCTTTCTTGGGACCCATGGCAAGATATATATTAACTTTTATGCTCAAATGGCCAAAAATCCGACAAAAAACACCACGCGCTAGGTCGGCCGTACGAATATCAACAAACTCGTATCTCGATGCAAAGTTTGTATCCCGATTAAAAAATTCTGAACAAATTAGGCTTGTCACCCAAAAAGTTTGTAAACAGGGACGTTCATAACCTGAAGTACCACTGTACAATATAAATTTCGTTGGAAAATGTGGCTCAACTTGCAACTTTGTTGATACAAGAATGGGTTGACCGAGTGCACGGTTCCTGGTGGCAGGGGCGATCACACTTCAGTTTACCAGTGTCACCCGCCTAGTGACGATCACACTTGAATATTGTATTCAGGAGGACAACAGGATGGATGGATGGATGGTGAGGGGACTAGATGTGGGGGAACTGGATGAATGAATGGTGAGAAGACTGGATGGATAATGAGGGGACTAGATTGATTATGGTGAGGGAACTGGATGGGTGGATAGACGGTGGGGGGACTGAATGGATGGATGGTGAGCGGAACTAGATGGATGGTAGTAGGACCAGATGGATGGCAGGTGGGTGGGACAGGGAGACTGGGGAAGGGGGTGGATGGGAACGGGAAAGAAAATCTTTCAGAAACACCAGCCCTAGAATTTCATGTAAGGGAAGAACATGTGGAGGGCAATTAAGTGGGTGGGCAGGTGAGAGTGAGTGGATGGTTGAGTAGCAGGGCAGGTGGAACAGAACAAGTGGGTGGCTGATGGTAGACTAAGGTGGTGGGTGGCTGATGGTAGACTAAGGTGGTGGGTGGCTGATGGTAGACTAAGGTGGTGGGTGGCTGATGGTAGACTATGGTGGGTGGCTGATGGTAGACTAAGGAGGTGGGTGGCTGATGGTAGACTAAGGTGGTGGGTGGCTGATGGTAGACTAAGGTGGTGGGTGGCTGATGGTAGACTAAGGTGGTGGGTGGCTGATGGTAGACTAAGGTGGTGGGTGGCAGATGGTAGACTAAGGTGGTGGGTGGCTGATGGTAGACTAAGGTGGTGGGTGGCTTATGGTAGACTGGTTGATACCTGGTTGATACCTGGTTGATGGGATTCTGGGAGTTCGTCTACTCCCCAAGCCCGGCCCGAGGCCAGGCTCGACTTGTGAGAGTTTGGTCCACCAGGCTGTTGCTTGGAGCGGCCCGCAGGCCCACATACCCACCACAGCCCGGTTGGTCCGGCACTCCTTGGAGGAATAAATCTAGTTTCCTCTTGAAAATGTCCACGGTTGTTCCGGCAATATTTCTTATGCTTGCTGGGAGGACGTTGAACAACCGCGGACCTCTGATGTTTATACAGTGTTCTCTGATTGTGCCTATGGCACCTCTGCTCTTCATTGGTTCTATTCTACATTTTCTTCCATGTCGTTCACTCCAGTACGTTGTTATTTTACTGTGTAGATTTGGTACTTGGCCCTCCAGTATCTTCCAGGTGTATATTATTTGATATCTCTCTCGTCTTCTTTCTAGTGAGTACATTTGGAGGGCTTTGAGACGATCCCAATAATTTAGGTGCTTTATTGCGTCTATGCGTGCCGTATATGTTCTCTGTATTCCCTACATTCTGCATTCTGACTAAGACTAAGACTAAGGTGGTGGGTGGCTGATGGTAGACTAAGGTGGTGCGTGGCAGATGGTAGACTAAGGTGGTGCTGATGGTAGACAGGTGGGTGGCTGATGGTAGACTAAGGTGGTGGCTGATGGTAGACTAAGGTGGGTGGCTGATGGTAGACTAAGGTGGTGGCTGATGGTAGACTAAGGTGGTGGGTGGCTGATGGTAGACTAAGGTGGGTGGCAGATGGTAGACTAAGGTGGTGGCTGATGGTAGCTTAAGGTGGTGGGTGGCTGATGGTAGACTAAGGTGGTGGGTGGCTGATGGTAGACTAAGGTGGTGGGTGGCTGATGGTAGACTAAGGTGGTGGGTGGCTGATGGTAGACTAAGGTGGTGGCTGATGGTAGACTAAGGTGGTGGGTGGCTGATGATAGACTAAGGTGTTGGGTGGCTGATGGTAGACTAAGGTGTTGGGTGGCTGATGGTAGACTAAGGTGGTGTTTGGCTGATGGTAGACTGTGGTGGGTGGCTGATGGTAGACTAAGGTGGTGGGTGGCTGATGGTAGACTAAGGTGGTGGGTGGCTGATGGTAGACTAAGGTGGTGGGTGGCTGATGGTAGACTAAGGTGGTGGGTGGCTGATGGTAGACTAAGGTGGTGGGTGGCTGATGGTAGACTAAGGTGGTGGTTGTACTGCCAGAATGCAGTACTCGGCTTACTATGCAAGGCCCATTTTGCCTAATAAGCCATGTTTTCCTGAATATATATGTTTTTTTTTTGTTTTTTGTTTTTTGAAATGATAAAGCTATCCATTTCATTATGTATGAGTTCATTTGTTTAAATTTGAGTTAAAACTAACGTAGATATATGACCTGACGTAACCAACCCTACCTAACCTAACCTAACCTAACTTATCTTAACGTAATCTAAACTAACACAACTAAGTGAATAATTTATGTTCCTTATAAAATATAATAATAATAATTCAAATAAACTAATTGGAAACATTTTATTAAAATAAAGAAAATAACTCGGATTAATAGGCAAATCGGACTTTGCATAGTAGGCCGAGAAGTGTGTTCTGGCTACTAGGTACGACATATATATATATATATGTCGTACCTAGTAGCCAGAACGCACTTCTCAGCCTACTATGCAAGGCCCGATTTGCCTAATAAGCCAAGTTTTCATAAATTAATGTTTTTTCGACTACCTAACCTACCTAACCTAACCTAACCTAACATTTTCTGCTACCTAACCAAACCTAACCTATAAAGTTAGGTTAGGTAGGGTTGGTTAGGTTCGGTCATATGTCTACGTTTATTTTAACTCCAATAAAACAAAATTGCCCTCATACATAATGAAATGGATAGCTTTATCATTTCATAAGAAAAAAATTCGAGAAAATATATTAATTCAGGAAAACTTGGCTTATTAGGCAAATCTGGCCTTGCATAGTAGGCTGAGAAGTGCGTTCTGGCTACTAGGTACGACATATATATATATATATATATATATATATATATATATATATATATATATATATATATATATATATATATATATATATATATATATATATATATAAAATTGAATATGACCAACAAAGTAAGATTAATAATTCTAACACAAATTTTCTCTATGTCTTATGTTTCTCTTTACTGTTGAGGGTAATTGAATTATCAGTTTTCCAAAATTCATTTTTATTCTTGATCTGACACCTGAACGCGTTTCGTAATTCTTCGAACGCGTTCAGGCGTCAGATCAAATTACCTCATTCTTGGTGCACTCGTGAGAAACACAAATGCGAACAATCGCATTTGTGTTTCGCTTGAAACTGTGATGCCCCTTGTTTGTGTTACATCTAGATGTATTTCAACCCTCGGTAGGGATACGGCTGAAAAATTTTTGTTGCAGCCAAAGAATTAAGAACCTTTGACAAGAACTCTTGAGAGCTAGTGACCCCTCCCTTTCTTAGTCATCTACCTCAAATGCCCTGAATTTGCCTCACTCAACTGTCCCAAATTAATATTAAACTTAATTTACTGGTATTTTTTTCATTCAGGACAATGCGACTCATACACTGAGCATAGGACACTTCGAAGAGATGGTAAAGAAGGAGTTGAAAGAGGTGGAGCTGAGGCTGACGAGTGCTCGCTCTATGGCCTGGACGGTGGGCTGTGACCCCAGGACCAATGGCTCAACCTGGAACCTGTACAAACGTATGTACCTGTGCTCACCTAGTTGTGCTTGTGGGTCTGGCTCTTTGGGCTTTGGCTCTCAACTGTCGATCAATCAACGGTTTTCTAGAGGGAATCTCAGAAAACAGCTCCCAGAGATGTCCAGACTGATATGTATATATATCTTTAGAATTTGCCATCAGTCAGTGTGGGTGGAGTTCTAGGCTTATTGGGAACCACAAGCCAGAACCTGGCCCCCCCCTCCTCAGAAAGGCATGAGGAGCAATGGCCTATAGTAATGCACTTGGAGCAGTCTATATCTGCCATCGACCGGGACAGGCACCCAGAAAGGTAAGTGCCCCAAAACAAACCCCTATTCTGGTTAAAACAACGAAAATAGACAAACGAGTGGACAGAACTCCCCAAATGGAAACGAGCAAATGAGCATGACATCACATGAGCCGCACCGCATGTATGCGCAGCTCCTCCCTTCCCGGGAGGGAAAAGGGGAAGCCCCAGATCCCCAGACTGGCGATCCACCCTGTAGTTCTTTGGCTGATGTGATTGTAGCAAGGTCGTGTGGCTCCAGCTCTGGTTATCTCTGTGTGCTACACTGTGTCCAGTACTGCTCTTACGGTGGCGTGCAAGCTGGGAGTATTATTCCAAGGTACTCGGGCTGCATGTGTGTTGGCCCTCTGTAAGTACCGCCCTTGGGGCTTGGGGTTCTCTTCTCTTGGGGTTGGTTGCTTCCGCGGATGCCCCGCCTTGCTTATAAGGACCCAGACGTGGGGTGGTGGTCACTTCGGCTTTGGTTCAATCTGCATTCCCTCGTTCTTCCCTTGTTGCAGTTCATTCTTCTCCCCCGCCCTTCCCTGTTTCCGACTCCTAAGCGACTGAGGGCTTCAGAGTTGGGGCAGGGTTTAGAGGTTTCTGAGACTCGGGCAGTTGCAGGGTCTGCCCCTTCCGGGGGGGGGGGGGGGGGGTGATGGAGGCATTTGAGTTGGTTCATTCAGCCGTAGTGCCGGGGTCTGACCAGTGGGCTCCCTCTCTCTCTGCTTCTTCGGCCGCCCCGGCTTTTTCTTGCGAGGCTGGGGCTTTGGAGGATGACTTTCTTACCCCGAGGCCTGACGTGGAGGTTTCCGTGGTTGGGGAGGAGTGACTTGGGGGCCTTGGGCCCCATTGGACCCCGCCTGGGTTTTCCGTCCCTCTGAGCGGGGCTTACTGTTACAAGGAGTAAGGTTTTCTGAGGTTTTCTTTTATCCCCTCTGCGTACGAGTTAGATTTGGGTTCGGCTCCTCCTAAGGTTGAGTTCAGTATCCCTGCGGGTGCTTCGGTTTCGTCTTTCCAGAGGTTTTTACCTTCCTGCGTCTTTCCTGCTGAGATGCGGGCAGCCATTATGGCTTACCTCCTGCGCGACCCGGAATATGCCTCTATAATGGATCAGTCTTCCCTCAGGTTTGGGTCTTCGTCTCCATACTGAGTTCGTTATGAGGTTCCGGAGTCATCCTGGCTAGCAGACTGCCTGTTGTTGTCGTTGAACACTTGGATTGCTTTCTGCCATTCCCGCACGCTTGACTGCCACGAGGCGTTGACTGTGGTCCGGGTTTACCTGGGGGGCGACTTTGAGCACTATAATGAGAGCTTGTTCGCTCCTGCCCTTCTGCATGTGAGCACAATTCAGCTTCACTTGTAGGTTCCTTCCCTGTCGGTTGCGCTTGTGGCTGAGGACTTGCGTGTTCGTGGCTTGCTGGCTTCGGTCTTGCGTTTCTTTTCCCTCCTAGAACTGTCTTCGGATTTACTTGCGTAAGATGTAGTGGCAGTTGGGGCCGTTCCTGGGTGTGGTGCCTTAGTCTCGGCTGCTCGTGCGTCATCTGCGCTGTTGAAGCTGTTTGCACTGATCCTTCGGGAGGCGGTGTCGCCTTTTTTCACTGCACGTCTCACGTGTTGGCAAGCTGTTCTCACTTCCTCCTTGGAATCTGCTTCGGCCCTGGCTCTTAGGTTGTCTTCGCCCTTTTGTCCCTTGCTGTTTGTGGACTCTGCGGTCGAGCAGTATATGCAGCCGGCTTCTTCCAGCTGTCGTCCAATGTCCGACTTGTTGGTTCTCCGGGGGTCCCGGGTGGGTTCGGTCCAGAGGGGTCGTGCCAGGGCCCGGGGTTCCGCACGTTGGGGAGGGGGTAGGCCACAGGTGCCAGTTTCTGAGCCGGCACCGCCTTCGAAACCATCTGCGTCTGGTTGGCGCGGTGATTGCTCTGTGTGCAGGGGTATTGGCCCTTTCGCAGTTTGCCCCATTAACGGAGCGATAGGGAAGAGGCTTGCTCTGTTCGCTGATGCCTGGTCTCACGATTTGTGGGCTTTTCGGGTCATTTCTCGCGGCCTGCAGTGGCTTTGGATGGCTCCTCCTCCTCGGGTTCAGGTCTCTTCTCCTGCGCTGTTGGGTTATCTTGGAGTGGATGCACTTGGGTGTGGTCAAAACGATGACGTCTCGCTGGTAGACCATCGGTCGATGCCGACTCATTCAGTTGGCTCTGCCAGACCTTCGGGCACTCGGAGGTTGACCTCTTCGCGTCGGTGTGGTCAAGGCATCTTCCGGTATATGCAGAATTATATATTATATTATATTATATTATATTATATATTTATATATACAGTATATATATATATATATATATATATATATATATATATATATATATATATATATATATATATATATATATATATATATATATATATATATATATATATATATATATATATATATATATATATATATATATATATATATATATATATATATATATATATATATATATATATATATATATACATATACATATATATATATATATATATATATATATATATATATATATATATATATATATATATATATATATATATATATATATATATATATATTAGTATATTTTGGTAGCAGTCTTTGTTGTAAACATACGTTGTTGAATATGACCGAAAAGGTAAGATTAATAATTCTAACACGAATCTTCTCAATATTTCTTATGTTTTTCTTCACTGTCGGTGGTAATAAAAATAACAATTCTCCGAAATTCATTTTTTAATTGTCTGATGCCTGAACGCATTTCGTAATTCATATTACATTTTCAAAGACTTAACACACACAAATTCAACACACAAATTTACACACAAATTCTTCGTACTTATACTCTATTGGATGAGGTGATATGGTACAAAAGTTTTGGATGAGGTGACAAACACAAGACAGAACATGAAATAATGAGTATAAATTGGATAAGTGAACATATGAATGGAAGTAACTGCAGAAGGCCTATTGGCCCATACTTCCTCATGCTGCTTCCATATTGGTTCGGGGTCTTGAAGTAGGTAGAATATAGTTGTGCATTAATTGGCTGTTGATTGCTGGTGTTGACTTTTTGATGTGTAGTGCCTCACTGATGTCAAGCCGCCTGCTATCGTCGTACCTATCGATGATTTCTGTGTTGTTTGTTAAGATTTCTCTGGTGATGGTCTGGTTGTGAGAAGAGATTATGTGTTCCTTGATGGCTCCCTGTTGCTTATGCATTGTTAGCCGCCTAGAAAGAGACGTTGTTGTCTTGCCTATATATTGAGTTCTTTGGGGCTTACATTCCTTTCTTCAAGAAGAACTCTGTAGGGTAAGGCAGGTCCTAGTCAATAACGGCTTTTCCAATGGTTTCGTCGAAGACATCATAAGAAGGAAAGTGAAAAGCCATGCAACCTCTGAAGAGACAACTAACACAACACCTATACCCCCTATTAGACTATTTTACAGGAACTTCTTTTCCACAGCTCATAAAACGAAGGAAAGGGTCCTGAAAGATATTGTTAATAGAAACGTTATCCCTACAGACAAAAACCAGAGGATACAACTGACGATTTACTATAAAACCAGAAAAACGGCCAGCCTACTCATGAGAAACTCTCCAGACACAAAACAGAACGCTTTAAAAGAGACTAACGTCGTCTATGCCTTCAAATGCCCTCTTGGGGACTGTAAGCTCCAAAAAACCCAATATATAGGCAAGAACATCTCTTTCTAGGCGTTTAACGATGCATAAGCAACAGGGCTCCATTAAGGAACATATAATCTCTTCCCACAACCAAACCATCGCCAGAGAAATCCTAGTAAACAACACAGAAATCATCGATAGATACAGCGATAGCAGGCGGCTTGACGTTTGCGAGGCACTACACATCAAGAAGTCAACACCAGCAATCAACAGCCAATTATTGCACAACTATATTCTACTCACCTCAAGACTCCGCTCCAATATAGAAGCATCAAGAAATATGGACCAATAGGCTTTCTACAAACACTTCTATTCAATATCCATTGTTTCGTGTTCTGTCTTTGGTTGATGAAATTAATACCCTATTAATACTCTTGTTCTGTCTTGTGTTGATGAAATTAATACCCTATTAATGCCACATTTTGTTCTGTCTTGTGTTAATGCCACATCACCCCTTCCACCTCACTCAAATGTAGATATAAAATCGGAGATGCGTAAGTTCTATTCAGTTGTGTATTTGTGAACTAAAGTCTTTGAAAATGTAATAAGTTTTACGAAACGCGCTCGTGTCGCGTCATACTAGAAATAAAAATGAATTTTGGAGAATTGATTTTTGATTTACCTCCAACAGTGAAAAGAAATGTACGAAAGATTGAGAAAATTCGTGTTAGAATTATTAATCTTACTTTTTCGGTCATATTTAATAATATATATATATATATATATATATATATATATATATATATATATATATATATATATATATATATATATATATATATATATATATATATATAATATGATATTTACAAGAATGTAAATTCAACTTAATTTCTATGTTCTCTGTTAACCCGCAATGTACCTTCTTGTATATAAATAAATATATAAATAAATAAATAAATAACCTGCCACAGTAACAACTTTACTACACAAATTTATACATCATAATCTAGACAAATATATATTCTTTGGCAATCCATCTTGTTGGTTCTGGATGAGTATGACTCTCAAGGA